GCTAGCCAGGTCAAGGCCTCCCTCGAACTAGCACTGGCCGAATACGCTAGGTCTGTCTAGCTAGATAAGGTACCAGGCAACATGATGTTCCTGTTTGCAATCTATATTTTGCTATTAAAGAGCATTATACTAGTACTGTGCATCTAGCTCTAGTAAGCAGATCCGCTACCTTCGTCGAGGTCGAATGTATGATCGTCTTACTAGCAATAGTACATCGATAGCAACAAGCGACGTTTCCGTGGCAAGAGCGCTGCAAGATTGCGCTCAAGATCATCCAAGCGATTGCGTACCTCCATGAGTGCGGTATCGAGCACTTGGACCTCAAGTCGGCCAACATCATGCTCACCCCCGAGAACGAGATCCGGCTCTTGGACCTGGGCGAGTCGGTGCGCACGGCCGATGCTGCAGGCTACAACTAAGTTGCTGGCGTCGGCGACCTTTCGCTGGAGGCAACAATCTAAGCACACGCAACTTACGTGGCAGCACCAGCTGACTATCCGACATGGCAAGCACATTTTAGGACAATTCTTCACACTTTATTCATAGTAGGGTGTCGGTGATGTACTTGCATTCGCCGACGTCTAGTTTGTCCTAGATGTCTCTCCTGTTGGTGCACGCAAAGCTCATAGCACTCGGACGATTGCTGCATCCTTCTGTACCCCGGTGTACGTTGCCAGCACATGATGAAGACGCTGAAATCAAATGCTCACAAGACCGAATAAAATATCCGGACGGGGCGCGACCCATGTGGGCGCGACCGGGGGGGGGTGTCCTATCACTTCTTGCAACAGCTGGTGCCAAATCAGCCGCCCTATCATCATCGTCGGTGCCCGTTGTGAAGCATACAAAAACCAAGACATATCTGAAGCCGGGCCAGGCGTGGAAGCGGTTCCCAGGCGTAGCTGCTTCATTTTGGCGAGTTTGGAGCTGCAAAAGCCATCAAATTAAAGGTGATGACACGGTCTCCTCGCCCCTCTCGCTGAAAAATCGCTGACTATCGTCATTTAAACTCGACTAACGTGCTTGGATGGGTCGTGCAGCATTACTTTGCCCTTGGGACGCTATAGTCCCACTCACAAACCAGCCAATCCGCTGAAG